TAGGCGCGGTTCATTCCTTAAATAAAACGAATTCTGTTGTGCGCGGTTCATTCCGTTAATTAAAACGGCCTCTTAATTGCACGGCAGCACCACGCTCGACTCTTGCTAGGCTCGGTTCATTTAGTTAATAAAAACGGCCAGCGTCGCTTATGCACTCGCGAAATGCACCGCGGATAGCACCAAACTCTTACGAAAAAGCCACAACTACAGGATAAAAAGTTTTCGCCAAAATTTAGCGGCAGTCTGGCAACAACCACCCAAAAGAACTGGCAACAGATTTATGCAACGCCAAAAGGAACCATGCCTGCAATTCCATGCGGTGGATGTAGTAGACGGACGCGCCACATTCATTTTGTAGACTCTTCTGAATAGTTCTGTTCGCCGTTATTGTAGCGCCAACGTGGCTCCGTAGTGTTTGCTGTACATTCAGGCAACTCAATTTATTTCACTTTTGAGCTGAGCGAAAAACGGGTCGGAAATTCGCACTAAACGCAAAGAGTAATTAGCGACAACTCTCGCAAACGTTTGGAAGCCCCCGACGCTTACGAAAACGAAGCAAAACCTGGCAAATCAGTTCGAAGCAGTATTTTTTTATTAACATGCTCCACTCTAAACGCGGTGCACTCGTCAGAATGCGTGCTTAGTTCAGGACTCTTTGCAGACGTTCAGTCCTCAAAACGAAAAAGATAAATTTCAAAGAAATGATAACCAATTCATAGAAAGTAATATTTTGTCGCAGAGCGTATACAGCCACTAGAATGTCGTATAGATCTGATAAATAAAAAGGTCTATTGGTTTTTGAAAAAAAAAAAACGCATAAAAAATTGTGTGGGCGTCTAACTTGAATTCGAAACCGAACCTAATTGTGCTGCGAACAACCTGCCACGAGACGGCGCGCAATGCGCGTTTTTTTTTTTTTGTTTACTTATTGTTTGTCATTTCATGTTGTGGATGTGGTAGTGGGACGCGCCACATTCATTTTGTAGACTCGTCTGAATAGCTTTGTTCGCCGTTATTGTAGCGCCAACGTGGCTTTGACGTTGCGGAGATTCGTCCAGTTCGCCAAACATATTTGAAAACGGGGTCATGTGAGGTATCAGTAAGGAGTGGATTCGTGGTATCGACGGTACCAACGCGGAACGTCAAACGCACACAATGGACAGCACCTTCACGACGAAATGTGTGTAATGCATTACCGTCAAGCAGCCGACATTCGCAGGTGATGTACTGGCATCTAGTTTATTATTATTTTTTGTCAAGATTCCAAGCAAACTGATGCATGTTGCCTATTTCGGCAAACAGAATCTTGCCCTTATTGCTTTCTTTAACAAACTCAGCGGTTCTTTGGAGTGTGCTTGAATAGTTTCGTGTTTCGAGCCTCGAGAAATGTGGGCGGAATATGTAGTATGTAATCGCAATGTAAGAAAGTATGTAATTGCAGCCCTAACTTGTGACTGTTGGAAACAGTGGAATATGTTTTGAATACCGACTGTAGAGTTAAGAAGGCACTAGGTCAAAATAACCAGGGGCACACCTCGGAAAGAGTGGCCGTGTGCCTTAGAGCTACATCCAGAATTTCTACTTTTGTTGGCTTTATTCTCGAGTTATAATGTTTGTGTGTATTCGTGATCCCGGTTGAGCGGCAGCGTGTGTCTCCTTTGTTATTTTTATGCGGGTCGTCTTAACTTTGTGACAAGTATCCAAGTCATGCATTGCCAGTGAACCCCATTGTCGGTCTTGCCTAGAATAATTATAACTCGATAGTCATAACGCTACGATATGCCGTAGAATGCATTAAAAAACTGTGGTAACATATGCAAGTAAAGCACGCGCCAGTTGCATACCTCAAACAGTTCAGTCAGTACCGGATTCAATAAATCAACGATTTTTTGTCAAGGCTGATGATGCAGCAAAGTTGGTTTACGTTTTTTCTTCATATATCAGTACTGGTACTTTCAACAGTAACTGTGTAAATTTAATGTTTGCATTTGCTGGCTCAGAGTAAACAATCATTAAGTGATCGCTTAATGCGAAAAATTTTTTTGCTATTTTGTAGACTTGTTTCTTGCCTGCTAAGGTAAATCCACCTGTGCTGCTCATATGAATACCTGAAACTGTTTTGACAATTGTTTACAAATGCATTGTGGCATTTGTTCGAGTCGTTCATATCACTAACAGATTAGGTGCTCTGCACATTGGGTGGATTGTTATAATGCATTGAACGTGCATAATACTACCGAACACGGCGTACCATTTTACACTGTTTTTTGCTGTGCAAGCTTTGGCGCATTTTTAAACTACTCAGACTTAGCACTCAGCACGTCACATGTGCAACTAGTCAGGTTTGACTTCTTTAGTGTTGAGGTGGCATGCAGAGATTGAAAATGTGGTGGAGCATGGCTTCCTTAGTTTATGGTTACTTGGCTGAGGACCGCAGAATACGTGGGTTAGCCCAGAGTGCTCATTCACAAAATGACTCTCTGGTTTCTAATCACGAGTGACTACTTTTATATATAGATGCTTTTCTCACCTTTTTGTTCAAATAAGCTTCACTGATTTCATCCAAGCCACTCAGGGTGAAGCACAAAGCTACATTTAATGCAAATAAGTTCTGTGGAGACCCACTTGTGGCATCAAGCCACAAGGAAATTCATACGGATTTCACAGGAAGAAAAGCTTCTTAGTGGCTGAAAACTTGTCCTGGTTCCAGGATCTAACCCGGGACCAACGCCTTACCGGGTCTGTTGCTCTACCAATTGAGCTATCCGGGAAGCTAGCAGTTGGCAGCGCAAGGACGAATTCATCGACAACTCAAAGCGCATGCACACAAGTAATGCAAATAAGTTCTGTGAAGACAGGCAAGGTGGCGAAAGGGTTAAGAAAGGGAGCACGAAATGCTATGCAGCTTCATGCACCATGACACTCCTCATATTCACATTGTGGTTTTACGATGTAAAACTCTGCATGTTATTCTAATATTAATTCTAGCTCCCTAGAGCGCAGCATGTGGGTACACCTCTGACACTACGTGGGAGGAAATATGATAGCGTAGCTGTACGTCAATGACTGTGAAAGGGTTAGAGGAGTCCTGCAACATGTTTCTGAGCCATGATGAAATAGTCCTATTATTAGCACATGCTGCTTCACGTGTCACATGTAGCAAGAATTTTTTAATCAGGCAAGCATAAGAGGGGTTACGGCGATTTTTTGCTTGCTTCAAGTGTTTTCCCTCTCTTCTTGTACTACAACTGTGTTGAAAAGTACACCAAGAAAGGGAATGGCACAGGGGCATCAAGATGTATTCTTCCATCAGCATGCATCTTGACCTTGAGCACTTTTTTTTTTCTTTGAACATGTTGCTTACTTTCAGTGCGATTGTGTGCTCGGGCACGTTGCAGAATCCAGCGGCGGCCCGGTAATCGGCCGCAGTGTTGGGTATGTAAAATCATTTCTAAAATAAGAGTGAGGGATTATTACCAAAGTTTTAGAATGAATTGTGAATGCCAGGCCACACACAGCGCTACAGTATTTGGCTGTCGGCAGCATTTTTTGTCTGTGCTCAGAAAGTGTAGCAGTGCCCCTTTGAAATATATATATCTGCACCTTGTTGGTACCTGCAATGCCTATATGTTATTGAATTTACTTGAATGCTTACTTGAACTTTGTCTTAATTTTTCATGTAACTCTGGGTGAACAACAGTATACCTGGGACAGCTTATCATTTGGTATAATTATAGTTTCTTGTTAATTATAACGTTGGAGTTGCCTTAGTGAAGACAGATATTCTCGTTTTGTAGTTCACAAGCAGGGAATGGCACTTCACAGACAAGTTGAGTCACCTAAATGCTGGCATGCTTTTATTCTATCAAATGCTTACCACAACTAGGCATCTTTTCAAAATTTTGGTGGCCACATTCATAGGTCAGCAAACCCCCTTATGGATAAGCTTATTCAGACTGACCTAGACTCCGAGCTGCGGGTCCAAGTTTGAGTTAGTCTAGGTGAATGATACCTCGGCGAGCTTGAGTTCAAGTGAGTCCGGCTGAGGTAACTTTTAGTGAGTCCAAGTGAGTTTACAAAATACAATTCTTGAGTTAGTTTGTGTGAGCTCCACATTTTAGTGCCACTGTCTGGTCATATGTGCTCAGGTTAATCAGTAATATCAGTCTTATGTTGACTATCATTTTACATTAAACCCCAGATAGTATTATTGTTGGTAATTTCGTGCCCCTAGAATATTTCATAAACAAATATGAAAGCCAGTACTAACAATTCAGTCTTGGCTATTTATTGCCGTTCTTGCTGTTTTTATTCTCCTGTGGGTGCAGAGCACTTCAGGGACCTGGGATGCCATATGCTGTTGCTTTCGTAGCTTGGCGTAATGCAGGTAAACCACAAATGGCATAGCCATCTGTATCATATCGAGTGCGGGCTCGTGATGAAGCTACGGTGGTGGTTGGCAATGTGCCTGAGGGTCTTCATTTAAGGCTGGATTTATAAACCAACCTTGCCCTTATTTCTTGTTGTCCTTCATAATATTGTGTCCGCCTCAGTGGTGGAGCAGTTGAGGTCCTGCAGCAGTAATCCAAGCAATTTTTCGTACAGCTTTATTAAAGAAATGCATTTCATCAGAGCAGTTTATTGGGCAAGTCGTTGTGCTTCCATCTAGACCTAATAAAGGCATGACAGAAAGCGGGCACAAAAAGAGGAGTGTTGCACTTTTATTAGTTCATCAAAGAAGCTTATTATTACCTGTAGAATCTACTGCTTGTGCGAATTGAGGCTAGCCCGCTGCTTTTGTGCGGGCTTTGCCGCCTTTTCTGCTGTTCTCATGTCCCGATATGACTCTCCGCTTTTGTGCGAGTGAAGCTTGGTGCCAACGAATATTATTGATAGGGCCGCATTATTCTTGTACTAAGACGCTTAGCAGATGATGGGAGAGTTACATTGATTGTACCTGCAAACCAGCCATGAAGGAATAAAAGGCGGTTAACTTTTCTCCAAGCTTCCAGCGCCGTAATTTTATTGAGCTTCATTAAATTTGTAGGGGAATCCAGGCTTTTTTATATGGCAAATGTAAATTTTATGGCTTTAACTGAACATTTTTTAGTTGCAAAACATCTTTTTGATAGTGCAGATCCCACACAGTTGATGCGTACTCCAATTTAGACCTCACACAGGCATTGCAAGATATAAGTTTTATGCCACTGGGTGCTTTCCAAACTTTTCTTTTAAGAAGCCACAGTTTCTGGAGACAGGCTGCACAAATATCGGATTGTCCTTGATTGAAAAATAGAGAAGAATTCAAAGAAATAAGTGATAAAACACTTTGGTTTGGTCGAGAATTGAACCCAGGCTACCTGCATGGCAAGCAGGTGTTCTACCACAGAGCCGGGCTTGCAACTTCGTGGGGGAAAAAAACACTGTGTGAATGTAACGTAGTGGGAGGAGTCTTCTTGACGCGTGTATTGTTAGTTGGCAGACGCATGGGGTCGCTCTCAGGTTCAGAAAGTGAAAAAGAATGGGTGTTTACAAAGACCACATATTAAAAAGCATTCAGTCTTATTTAAGCATCAGCTGCAAAAGTATCAACATAAGGATAAACTGCGTTGGTTCGCACGTTGCCTTACAAATGTGTAGTGTGCACTTATCTGATTTGCAAAGTGAATAATTGTGGCGTATCGGGCACTTGGCTGTACTTGCAGTATGCATTCGAAGATAGTTTGAAACGGCCAATTTTGTGTGCACAGTTGTTCGTTTCCTTGCAGCATGGTTGAGGCATGCACCAAGAAGCAAAGCTAGGGTAACAGTTGAGAAGGAATTGAGCATGCGGCCTAATCACGTTACTGCGTTTTATTCCTGCAGGCAAAGCTCAAGCATTTTTCTTTGTATTTGTTGTTCGAACTTGGGTTTTACATTCAGTGAAATCGCAAGCGAGTGCATGGGTTGCCTTTCGCAGCAGCTGTGTTAACTATTTAGCTCGTAATACTCAATTCATGCAATGGTCGAGGAATTCGGGCTTATGGCATTATTTTTTGAGAGAAGAGCGAGTGATTGCTAGCAGCCCTCCAGATGTAATTGTAAATTTCAGGTCACATGCTGCGCTCTAGTGTCTGGTTGACATGCTTTTAGGAGCCTCAACTGTCGATCGACAGATGATAAGGCCAAGTAAATTATACGGCATAGTTTGTAGTAATTGTGATATAAATGTAGAGAAAGTAAAGTGGGCAAAAAGATGACTTGCCAGCAGGAAGCAGACTTTCAACTTTCAGATTTAGCGTCAAAAGTCCTACTGAATTAGCTACTGTGCAGCCATCACCCCGCACTCGTCATCGTGCATATCCGTGAATTTAACCTTGGGAGTGTTAACACCAATAGCAGCCATTATGGTGAGTGTGGAACACACTTTTTCTGCTTCCTAGTGCTTTATAGCATAGGATCTTTTTATGAGCTGGCAGCTGACCAATAATCGTGAAGGCATGCTACCTGAAGACATCAAATCTGCCAAAATGAGATCTTGCTTTGAATTTCAAAACTGAGGGAAATTTTAAGGGCTTGTTCTTTTTGTTAGACATAATATTAATGAGAACAGACAATAATTGCCGATTCTCATTAATACTGGTTAAAAAAACAAGCCCCTGAAATTCTCATTCTTTTCTTTATTCACTGTAAAAAAAGGCATTTCAGTTTTAATACATAACTTTTGTAAGCTAATCAGAATGATCGAATAAATGATTTTCGGAGAAATAAAAGAATTTCTTGTGTAGTACAATTTGAAACCTCAGACAATCTTTGACTTTCCTTCTGTATTTTTAAAGTCACAGTACATGCTGATTTTAACTCAAGACTTCTTGTGCATCCAAGTCTCAAATGAAACTGAACCTGCAATAGCGTCAGTGTCAACAATTGGCAGTCATCTGACAAAACATGAGTTACATGACCTTTTTTTTTTATTCTTCACGTGGATGCACTACAATCAATTTTTAACACATTGAAGAGAACCGTTGAACCGTTTTAGGCTGAAGTCGGGCAACATCATTCTAACATGTTGGAGATTTGCTTGCTTCGTTGGAATAGCTGCCAAGGATTCTTTAAAGAGTGGGCCACTATGAAGTCTGTGATAACTTGAAAAATCAAATTATTATTGATTACTTTTGATTATAGTCTCAAACCATCACAATTGCTTACTTTTGGTTCATGATAATCATACAGAGGATATCCAGTTTTAAAGGAAAGTTTTGCTCCCTTCACATATTCAGGAACATATGGGTGGCAAATTTTCATTCCGATTGGGCTATCAGAAGTACTAAAAATATCATGTCCAAATTAAAGAAGTTGGCCTAACATGGACCTTAAGAAAAGGGCATTTTAAAGGTGTAAGTGGAAAGCATCTATGTGGAAAATGTATGCTTTTTAAGGTGATTTCTTCCATCATGAGAGCTTGTCAATTATTGTTATTTTGAGCATGTGGTTTCAGTGAACTCCTTATGCAAAAACGCACTGGCAAGCAGCCAGGTGACAATATTCATGGGGCTCTAGACAACGAGCTCTTTTTTGTTACAGTAGTCACCTTGTACTATTTGAAAGTGATATTAACCTACTTTGATTTTAATGATAATCTCCAGTTTTCTTGGTTTTTTTTTGTCGTGAAACTAGAGAAACTAAACTTGTGATAGAAAGTTATGAAAAATGAAAAACTTGTAATTTTGAATAAAAAACTTGCATTTTAAGTCTCAGGGCATTTCTTCTTAAGCTGGTGTGGGCATTGTTTAGTTCGACATTGAAAGAGTTTCAATTATTTAAAGATGCCAAGGGGGTCTTCTAAATGTTCCATGAATGTGTAGCCGTTGTATTCTTTCAGGATAACCAGTTATGCAAGCCGATAATGTGTAATGTATACATGTGTGCCGTCATGTAGGCTTCTGAAACATTGTAGTGAATAATTTACTTCTGATATTCCAGTATATCTTCATGCTTTTACTCAAATTGCTTAAAATATTGTCAAATACATGAAGTATGCTAATGTGTAGAAAGTAACAATTCATTGTTTTATGCATAAAAATGTGCATGTGCTTTTCACCACATAAAATGGCAATGCTACTATAGCCATTAAAAGGCAGTAATACTATCTAGCAGTAGTACTATTTCACATGCCTAACAGTAGTACTATTTCACATGCAGTAATACTATTTCACAAGTAGCAATATCAAATGAAGCTTTTTCTGCTTGGCATTGTACATTGTAATTTTTTTAACTAAGTCCAATATATTGTTGAAAGCTTTACAGCCTATTGTAACAAAGAAGATGTCTTATTTGTCATTGTTTAACTATAGTGTCTGCATATCATTCAAGTCGGATGTCTACGTAGTGGCAGCAGGCAGCTGCATTGACTAAGTATAGTACTTATGCACTGAAATATGGCAGCTTGGGTGACACATGTTTTCGATTGTTCTACTGCTAGCACTTCAGCAACATGTTTTTACCGGAAAACGTTGCCCCAGAATGTTGCTTACGTACGCAGCAACACTTCTTGATTGCCTGCTACTGCAGTCCTGTTTCATGCAGCATGTGGCGTATGGTTTGCAATACCATTTTGTTCTCCTCGTTTCTTTGCAGGTTCTTTGCATTTGGCGTCCCGTGTGCAGTGCCATTTGCTCATGTCCGTACAAGGTGGACTGCATTCCTTCTGGCAGTGCACCGACGTGATCAAGGACAGGAGAAACGTGAAAAGACACCTTTGCATTCACCTAAGCAATCATTTCTTCCAGTACTGCATGGGCTCAACCAAATTTACTCGGAGCAACAGTCTCAGTGTGTTCATATTCGCACAAAATTGCTCCACTTTTCTGTGTTCACTGAACCTATGTGACCCAAGACAGCAGAAATATATTTACCCACTTGTGATCAGCCAGAACCGTGATGTCAAAATTACCTCATTGAACTCAAAAAAAAATTTTTCCAGTTTCATGGTAGCTTCGTCCAATCGAATTTTGTTTCATATATTTCATGGGTTCAGTTTTTATAGAATATTTTTTGTTTGGGCTGCATTTTAAGCAGGGGTGCAACAGCTGCGCCAATTGTGCCAATTGCACCAATTTGATACAATTCCCCATTGTTGCACCAAGCTCCGCCAAAACCATGAAATTTGCTGAAATTGCGCCACGCTGCGCTAAAATGCCCGACCAGCCTCAAAGTTATCTCAGGCGAGCTAATTTTAGCGAGAAATCAAACTAAGCGTGCAGACCCTAACCTTAAACTACGGTGTAATTTAGATGCTCGTTAAATGAGGACACTCGCGAGCTGGATTGACCAGTTAAAGTATAAAGAACAACGTAAGAACAACGTACGCCCATCGGTCCGCTGACCACAGCAGATACCTATAGGCGAGACGACTGAACTTCACGAGAAAAAAAAATGCATTGCTGTGGCCACCAGCGCTACACGGAAAATATGCATTTCCTAGTTGGAAAACGCGGTTATGGCATGTTAGGAACGCATGTCGCATTTTTCGCGTGCGGTCAAAGTCGACGTGCTGTAAAGGTCGTTGTTGCCAACCACTGTGTTGGTTGCCGTAGCAGTGGCACTTCACACAATTTTCGGGCTTGAAGTTGCGTCGTTGCGGTGATAGATATCTGGCGCCGGACCAACAGGCGCACATCGTTGTTACTTTATCTCCTTGAATGCACCTTGCAAGCGAACCTGAGAAATTGTCCCCATCATGAAAGAAAAAAACAATCGGGTGAGTGGGGGGGGGGGTGTTAGCACTTCGACATATGCTTGGCCTTGTTCTAACCAGCGCAGGATGGTTTATAAGGCACCTCCGCTGCAGTACACCAGTGCACCGCTGAAACGTGTACATGATTTGGAAGGGGCTGTTGGCGCTATTCATGGGACACAGCACATTTTATTCAATGCCGATGTGTGTATGTGCCGCATAATTGAGCACTAGTATGATTGCTGATGTCTAAAAAAGGCACTGGCAGTCATTTGGAGCAGGCAATGACATATTGTGTGTCCGTTTTTTTTTCTTTTTTTTTTTGCCACCCCTACTTTTTGGTCTTGCAAATCTCCCGTATTTTAGGGTCGCCAGCTTGGCAGAGCCACAATTGCATTCGCAGAGTCTGTCAAAGGATTCAGCAGGTGTGGGACATACTAACGGGAACTTCATCATTATTTGCTCAGTGAGGTAATTCAGAATACTACTTTTATTGAAATAGCAGTTCTCATGTTTACTCTGCACTATTTAGGTGGGTTTAATGTGTTGTACATATATTTTGTTTCTAAATGTTAGCATTCTTTTTTACAGTGCTCCAAATTCGATTTTTCATGATAAAAATTTCGTTTTTTTCCCGTAACCTGCTTCAAATTTGGATTTTACTGTTCCAAAATTAACATTTTGCTGCTCCAAACATTGCACCAAATTTTCTTTTCACTTTTGTACCCCTGTTATAAATAATTCTGTCACAAAAAGGAATGCAGAAAGAGCTTACAGAGCATTCATTCATTTAATGCTGACTATTGCATTTGCAAAATCCTATCCTGTTAACAAGACAACCATAATTTTTTCTGACAGTCGTAGTTAACCGCAGTGTTCTTTTTTCCACCCCTGAATATGACCATTGGTTGTCATTGTAAAAGATTTGTAGGTGAAGTGTTCACATCTGATTCACTTTTAATTTACCACTTGAATCACTTATACACCTTTTTGTTTCGAATTCATCTTTGTGCTGATTTAATTCGCTTTTTGCACTAAATAACATTTGTTGTAATTTTACTTTTAATTTTTTTTTTCAAGTGCCTTAGGAATGGAGTTTGCTATACTGTGGGGCCTAGAAAGAAATGCGTAATTGTGAATACAGGTCGGATTTACCCATTTCTTGCATTGAAAACAGTTAATTGCTTGAATCTTGCGGAGAAAAAATTTGTTTGTCACTTGAGAGCCTTCAAAATTTTGCAGAATGTCGTAAGAGTGGCAGTGGTGTTGGGGACGTATGTGGATACACACAAACTCGTCCAGCCATCAGATTTAGTGCAATACATTGCTACTTCCAATTGTGCCCGCACAATCTCGAAGGTTCGATAGCCTCCCGTGCGAACGGGAGATTTTACATGTGTGCATTCCTCAAACAGTCGTGCATGTTGACGTCTTCGGGCCTGGCTCCTTGACCAAGTCCTGTCTCTGTCTAGTGCACCTTTTTTAGGATGTCTCATGTGAAGATATGGCTTGCATGACGTGGCAGGTGCATGTAAACACAGTATAGCAACGGTTGCGGAAAAAAACCTTACGGAAAGCCATGTGTAATTTGAAGGTCAATGCACACGAAGGGGTATTAATGCCTCAGAGGGTCATGCATATAATATCGGAGGCTATCATGTGCTGCTGATGGTCAATTTGCGGTGCGGTACACATGCCTGCTCTTGGGTTCTCACGTGAACGCGTGATTGCCACGTCTTGCGCGACAGCATTGCTAGCATGCGTTTCTATCAAACATCGTGGGTTTCGGGATGTGAAACCCCAGATATTAGTTCATGTATTGCATCTCACTTCACATTTGTTAACTTCATTCATCCTACTGCATGTTATACAGATTGCACTTCTCTAGCATTCATTCATCATCATTAGTGTAGTTTCGTGAAGAGTGGCTCAAATACTTCTTTTTTGTTATCGTTAGAAAATGAGTATTCATTTTGGCACCATTTGCCTAAAAATGTCCTAGAAGAACGTCATCCATGTCTAAAACTGATTTTTATGCTGGCAAAAATCATAAACTTCACTCCTGCATCTGTGTTACAATAATTAAGTAGTCTTTTGAATAGGCTTTTCTTATTTGTTTTCTGCAGCATACTCTGACTGCATATTCATTTAATCTATCTTAGTTAGCTTAGGAATTACGGGTTTCCAGTAGAAAGCTCCAGGTCAAGAAAATTGTAACCTTCTCCCTCCCCTTTTTGCACCATTGTACAGTACAGTACACTGTTGAAGAGAACAGTTTGAGGAGCACCTTTAGTATTGTGACCACCTAATTCCAGGCAGATGAGGAAACATTTTTCGTGCACAGCACTGGTCAGTCACAAAGAAGTCTACTCTGGCTGAAAGTTGTGTTGTCAAAATCATATTGATTCTGTAATCCTTTAGCACATTTATGGCTCTCATAAGTAGTGATGCATGTCACTTCTCCAACTATTAATAGCAAATGTTGTTCACGAGTCGATATGAATTATGGAGCATTCGCCCGGATATACCAAAAGGGAGGATGCAAACTTACTCAAGGTTCTGGCAGTTCTGACAAATGGTGTCAGTTGATTCCATGGGAATCTCTCGGCAGGTTGCTGCACATGTGGCGCTTAGAGCCAAACCTGATGACGGTGATAGACTTCGCCGTGTATTCTGAGCTCGCTGAACGATGCACTCATAGTTCACTGTGTAATTCAGCCTCAAAAATTGCAGTTATATAATAGCAGCCATACTATAACAAAAACTGGCGACACTCATAATCGGTTAGCTTCGACGTGCTCTAACTGCTCCGAAGGAGTGAGAGTTAAGCTAACCAAGAAAGACAATGGTCATCTGCCTATTGTCTCCTTTTCCCATAACTAAATGCGGTCAATATGAATCTTGACATATGCGATATTTCAGATGTGGTTTACTTCTTGCTTTTTACAAAAATCTAGCTACTTTAGTGTCCTTTTTACTGAACTATGCTCAATTTTCTTTTTTATTGTGCTTCCAACAAGTTTGGCCAGGGGGCTCTGATGACAGCGAAATCGAGACCTCTCAGCGATGTTTTGATCTTGATCGCGCCTGATGGTGATAAAATGTGACCGTGTAGCAGTACCTTATTTCAGTTGTGATCAATCCGGATCGACACTTTTCGGGTTAAAAAATGTGCGTGTGACACCGGTATTAAAAAAAAAACGCTCTGAAAGGCTGCTCTTCCAGCTTTCCCTGTGACAGTGCTGTGCGTTCTGCGCAGGCCAGGGGTTTTCTTCTCTCACTTGAAATGAACAACTAACACATAATAACGTTTGTAAATAAACAAATTGATGCATATCAGACAGGTTCATGTCGCAACAGCACGCGAGTTTTAATGTCTGCTAATCCTGTTAACTGCATAGCAGTCCTTTGGTAAACTGCTAACGGGAGTGTACATGTGTCTTCTTGTATTCCTCTGAGATTTATGGCGAAGTTGCAGAGTACAAATCAAGCATCCAACACTTTCTCGGCAAGTGCAAGAAAAAGAATGGCTATCATTCAAACTGAGGATCAATAGCTTGGATAAAAACATTGCCATAAAATGTACAGATGTGTCTTTGTCTGTCAATTTCATTTCTGAGCGAAACACAGCTGATGAGTTGAACTTGTTCGTTTACTCAACGAAAATTTCTGCTTTGCAGGTAGTGGGGAAGGTGGAGCGTCGTTGTGGGACATTCAGTACCAGGTGTAAGCAAGTAGAGATCGTGGGGGCCGCTTCGAGGGAAATTTCTGCATGTCCTTCAATTCCTCTGCTGTGACCTGTGGGCAGTACTCGTGGGTTGAAATAGGACAATTGAGGGCTAAGTAATACACATAGATTCATTTTCCACGGTCTTTATTTTGGACTATATTGGTGTAATTTCGTCTCGAACCCATAGATGCGAGCCAACAAAGTCATTGTCTTGTTTGAATTCGTTGAGAGCTGAAGAAACATTCGCATATGAAAACCCAACTCAGCAGCATATCTAGACACCTTTAAATGCGGAGCATTTTATAGTCGCAGCTAGTGGCAAATCCGGCGTCGGCGGGGCCTTCCACACCCCCACTGCGCATGCTGGCGTTTCGTTCTGCAGGCTCACGTCTAGTGTCTACTGTCGCTTCCCACCCCTCGCCTCGCAAGGCTGACGCAGGCAGTGCCTGCTTGTAAAAACTGACTGCTTGCACTGAACAACCGTTCGCTGGTCACCCTGTATATGTAGAGACTGGATTGCGCGTTTG